AGCCACGTGGAGACCCACGCCAGCACTGAGATGCTCCCACCACCACCGGATCCACAAGACTTTCAACCCATTGGCCTGTGATTTTCCTGCATTCAGAATCATTGCATGTCCTGCATGAATCTAAAGAGGAATTTATGGACTAGCATTGGACCTATGGGCTAATATCCAATGTATGGACTTGACCTGGACTGGACTGGGGTGTTTTCTCAATATACAATTGCTCTTTATATAAAGCTCTTTCTTATACACAGATGAGTGTCTATGAATTTGTTTCTCTAGTCAACCCGGACTCATACACCTTAGATTTTACTTAAGGTTTCACCCAAACAACCCAAGGATTTGAGGTCCTTGAGAGCAGGAAACGGATCTTCTTTAACTTCTAGGTCACAGAACAGTGCCAGGATGATGGCCATTTTTATGTGTTTCTTCAATGAATGAATGAGGCTCCATTCCCAGCCATTATGTTTCCTGCCTTGATTTTCATCATGCACTTCTCTGAGCTGCCTTTTCTAAGGAAGTGTTAGGTAGCCAGAATAGGGACAAAGGGGGATTGTCTCCCCAGTGCCTGCATAGGGCCACAACAAAGGGGTTGGAAAGAAGTCAAGAAATCAGGCAAGTTCATTAGATACCTATGGAAAGATCCAAACTGAGCATGCTCAGACACAAGTCCCCTAGGCCCAGGTGGGAGATCCACCTGGATGCACAGACTATAGGCCCAGCCACATGACATCACCCAGGTGCTCTTAAGCTCAGCCAAAGAGGTCAACCAACACCTTCAACCACACCTCCCCAGCCGGAGGAGATAAGAGCCTGTGACAGGAAGGCCAATCCTCTTGGACTATCTTTGACTGCACTCTTGGAGGGTGGGGGGTCCACCCAAGACTGAGCTCCCTCTCAAACCTCCCTCTCAGGGCACTCTTTTTGGATTTCCTGTGAAGACCCAAGACTTCCCTTTTCCTCCTACAGTCACCTGGATTTACACAAGTGCTTCTGCCACGTGAATTCTTTCAGCTTAGCAAAGCAAGAACCGAGAGATAAACCACTCTGGAAACCTAACAGAAGGTATCAGCCACTTCTTGCTGGGAGATGAGTTCATCCCCAATGATCTTGCTCTGACCCATGATGGAGGCATGGGTGGGTGGGGAGATGAAAGAGCAGTTGGGTGAAGAGAGGGGTGAGAAGATGCAGAGATAGCGGGATGGATGGATGGGGTTGCCCATGGTTGGATGCGGGGGCAAGGTTGATGGTTGACTAGATAGAAGAATAGCTTGCTAGTTTACTGGATGGATGAAAGAAAAGGCAAGTGAATAGAAGAAGAGGGAAGTGGGTGGATGGATGGATATATGGAAGGGTTCGTGGATGGATGGATGGATGGATGGATGGATGGATGGATGGATGGATGGATGGATGGATGGATGG